TGTTTATCTGTCTGTCTGTTTATCTGTCTGTCTGTTTGTCTGTCTGTCTGTTTTCTGGAGCTTGACTGTCTGTTCATATCTTTGACGTTTATGACACCGACATCAGCTGATTATCGACACAAACAATCCAAACAGTAAACAAAAAGAATCCGTCACGTGATGATGGAGATTAAAGGGCGGGGCTTCGCTAACCACTGTGTCTGATGGGCTGAAGTGATGTTCATCCACACAAGTCAACAATAAATGTTCAGGAGGAGAACCGACTGGACTCACTAAAAACAAAACAACAAAAACAAATAAACAAGAAATACTAAAGCATTCATTCGACCTTTATTTCTACAGGTTAGTCCCATTGAGCCTCGGGGACTCATTTACAAGAGAGACCTGATTTGACAAAGAATGATGACAACAGTGGATAATCTTCAGAGAAAGTGTGCAAATTCAGAAGAACAAATGAGAGAAAATTGTATTAAAAATGAAAAACAAAACAAAAAACATCTAGATTATAAGGCGGTGTAGAAAACTAAAAACAGGAACATGTCTGTGTTGGTTTTTCCAGGAACTTAACAAATGTTTGAAGCCACTTACAGAGGTCAAAGGTCGAGAGTTTCAGGTCTTTTTCAAGATATTCCAGGAAACAGGCGCGGAGTAGGAGAAGGTCCAGAAAGCATGCAATAAATAAAAAATAAACATTAAAAATAAATAAAATGCAATGCTCCAGCATCAACGTGTGGCATGGAGGCTGCACAGCTGCAGAAAGAAAAGCTTTGCAGAGAGTGGTGAAGGCTGCACAGAAGATGTTGGAGTCAGTCTCCCCACCATCACAGACATCTACACCTCCAGATGCAGGAAGAGGGCCACCTGCATCATGAAGGACCACACTCACCCAGCACACACACTTTTTGCCCCACTCCCCTCAGGAAGGAGGTTGAGGAGCATTAAGTGTAGAACCACTAGAATGAGGAACAGCTTCTACCCTGAGGCTGTTAGACTCATGAATCTCTAACTAGAATAATCACTGTGAAAAACCATATGTTGCTGCTGATCTGTTTCATGTTGCTGCTGATCTGTTTCATGTTGCTGTTGATCTGCTTCATGTTGCTGCTGATCTGTTTCATGTTGCTGCTGATCTGTTTCATATTGCTGTATTCATTCGTACTCATCTGCTCACACAGACTCATGTTCGTGCTGCTGTTCAGTGTATTGTATACTTATCTTTAACCTGTCTCTGAGTCAGTGTATTGTGCCCACAATCGTCAAGACCTCAACTGTTGTTCCCATCCTAAAGACCTCTGCAGCATCCTGCCTTAGGTTGTTTTCACAGCTGACAGTCCGGTAGACACGGTTCAGTTCTGGACCAATATTCATGACATTTTGTTACATTTGAGCTGGTGCGTTTGCATTCACACTGCACTGTGCAGTCGAGTCAACCTGTTGAACCAACCTGTTCCCCCGCTCGCCTGTGGGGGCGCTGCACCAAGAACTACTGAAAGAAACAACACAAAATCCTCTGAAGAAGACACTTCTTCTTCTGGAAATAAAAACAAAAATGGAGTGGTGTCAAATTTTAGCATAGAAAGTCCAACTCACGGTCAGAGATGATATCCTGCACAAGACACCCCTTACTCGTATGCAAGCGGATGTTGAAGAGACCGAAGTTGATGTTTTTATTGTGATTGACAGTGGCGTTAGCTGATCGAGCCAAGTAGGCCAACACACTGTGATCAGTGCGGCAACCGGTGCTCATCAGTGAACGACGAACAGTTGAACAGATAGATCCAATGGAGTTGGGTTCGTCACAGCAAAAGATCCTGCAAGAGCCTCAGTGAGTGTATTTCTAATGGGGCCGGTAGAAGATGTCTCAATGTAGGAGCAGAGCTGGTGGTGGTGGCCCATGATGTAAACAGCGCTTATAAAGCTCAGTGGCAGAGTACTGGAGTATAGCTGTCATTGGATGATGGACCAAAAACAGGACAATCCAGGCTAGTACAAGCCACACATAGTAGGCCCAAATAGTTGCCAGGGACATGTCAGCAGGTAGGCTGATGGTCTTTGTTCAGACAAAACAGAGGCAGCTACTGAATCAGAAGTCTAAATTAACGAGCGAACAACTCATAGATAACAATAAGCAAAGTCTTCAGATGATAAAATTACTAAAAACCGAAAAAGAAGCCAGGGAGCAGCGGCTACAAAATGCGCCAGCGTTCACTCTCAACCAGAAGTTGAATAGTTGAATTTAACATTATTTATCTGAGGAGCAGTAACTCCATTACAGAACTCTCATCTTGAGGTGACAGGGCCTTCTCTGTCGCAGGACAGACTTTGGAACGAGTTACCTCTGCTTGTCAGACAGGCCCCCTCCCTCTCGGTTTTCAAATCCCGCTTAAAAACTTTCTACTATTCTGTAGCTTTCAATACTAGATAATCTGTGTTTGAACCTGTATGCTTCAAACTGGTTAATCGTTATATTTATTATAACTTGGAAAACAGCCTTTGTTCTTCCTTTGCTGAAGGGAGGTGACCCCACCTCACTGAACAACTATGGACCAATCTCTAAACTCTGCATTTTAGCCAAGGTTCTAGAAAAACTGATAAACTCTCAAATCAAAAATGACCTGGACTCATTTAACATCTTACCTCCACATCAATCTGGTTTCAGGAAACAACACAGCACAACCACTGCTTCACTGAAGGTTCTTAATGACGTTGTTGAAGCACTGGATGCTAAGGATTATTGTGCTGCACTTTTCTTAGACCTGTCTAAAGATTCTGACACTGTGGATCAGAACATCTTGTATCATAAACTCTCAGAAATCGGTTTCTCAGATCACACCATTGGTTGGTTCTCTAACTATCTTTCAGA